TTTCTTAATCTTACACAAAACCAATTTAAAAAAAATCTGAAAACAATTTTGTTCTAACTTATTGACATGAATTTCACTTAATTTTTAAGTTATGCTCTTATTTTTTTTAATTACGATTACTACAACAATTATTATAATTAAGTTCTTTTTTGTTTATTTTTTATAATTATCATCAAAATTTGTTTTTTTAAAACTTTACTTGTTTATATATGTTCTATGTGTGTATACTTATTATTAATCATATTATATTTAAAAACTGGTGTCACTCCTTTGATCAGAATTCTGTTTGAGTGACAACATCCTTATCAATCATTTAGTTATTATTATTAAATACTTATAATTAATTTACTCATTATTATATTAATTTATATTATTATATTAATTTATATTATTATTATTTTATATATATATATATATATATATATATATATATATATATATATATATATATATATATATATATATATATATATATATATATATATATATATTATTCAGTTCTTTTTATTTACTATAATTAATAGAGTTATGATTTTTTTTTTCCAAATTATTATTACTATCATAATATTATTGTATGATTTGAAAAGGAGAATAAATATCTTGTTGTTGTTTTTGTTGTTTATTTTACTTGGCGAAAAGGCTATTTTGTCTTCTTCTTGCCCCCGCCATTTATATATTTTACAAATACGATAAAAGCAGTGGCAGATTGAGGTTTAGTGTTGCGGGGGGTGGGGGGAGGAGGGAGGAGGACAAGTTAATGAATATGGGGCGACCGGGGTCGGGTGTGATATTTTAAACTCCAGGAGATATTTTTATAACTAAAACACTTTATAAGCGTTTTTATGACTTTACATATAAGACACAAAATAACTTAATTTTTTTTGAGTTTCCTTTGTTTATTTTAGTTAACAAATATCTTTTATAATATATGAAACATTTAATATTACTTAAATAGTTCAGTCATTTAAAAATGTATTTAAATAGACATATTACAAAAGTTAGCATTTAGAAAAAAAATTCACTTTTTAGGTTTTTACACAATTATACGAGTTTTCATTGAAGCAAAAGAATTTATCGACAAGTGAAAGTCAATGTTTTCAGCAAATTCTTGTTTAACAGAAATTAATGCTAATCCAGAAATTCGTTCGTTTGTAATTGTTGATCTAAGATAATTTTTTATAATCTTTAGTTTACTGAAACCTCTTTCAAAATTAGCAGATGTAACAGGAAGAGTCAAGTAGATTTTGTAAAGTATAGACAAAATAGGGAGACTGGGTTCCATGTGTTTCTCGATCAAGAACTGAAGTAAATCTTTCAATAGTTTTTCAGTTATCAGTGGTGGGGATATCGATGCATACACATCATTGAAAGTCACATACTCTACAACTGCCTCTTCAGTATTTAATTCGTTACAATATTTTGACATAAATTTTCAAATAAATTTATATTTTCTTTAAATAATTTTGACGGATCAAGGCAATCAAAATGTGTAACTGTGTTACTAAAGTTGTGAAATTGTTTATTTATTTGGGTTATACTTGTATCCAAAACATTGAAGTAGGTTTCACATTTTATGCATGTAGTTGGATCATTAACTCTTTTATCTCTCCACAGCTCTCCTGTCGTGCGTTTCTTTTTTGCATGATGTTAGGCTAACTGAATTTAAAGAAAAGACAAATTTTCTTTAAATTCAGTTTCTACATCTAGTTTGGTTTTTTACTAATAATCGACTGCTAAATGTAGAACTTCAAAGCTTTCATTGTTTCTCAAATCTATACAAAAAATTTTTTGTAACATCAATCAACTGTTTTGAAAATAAAACATCTATAACTTCTCGTTGCATATAGTTAGATAATACAAAAAGATTAATAAACAACTTTAGCAAAAATAACATTAGAAAAACAAATGAATGTTTTTGCTATTAAAACTGATAGTCCTAAAGCTTCTGCTCTAACATTTCCTTTCCCATTTCCATTTTAGAGTGTCCACTGTTAATTCATATAGACGTTTCTGGTGCTCTTGAAGAATATGAAGTCGTGGTAAACTAGACGTAAGGTACGTATACAATTTTTCGGCCGTGCCTAAAAACATCTGGACATCGCTGTTTACAGTCATTGCTTCAATGGTCACCAAACTTAAAACATGAGTACAATAATGAACATAGATGGCATTTGGTGAAAGCGCTTTTATTTGAGTTTGAAGACCACTTTTAGTTCCAAACATTACAACATTTAGTTCCAAACATTACAACATAAACAACATTATATGCTTGTCCTTTGCAGAGTTTAATATCAATTTTTTTCTTTTCAGAGTTTATCAAAAATGTTTCAAAAGGAAATATTTTAAAACCTTTGTTTTAAAATAATTCCATTTCTCTTTCCTCTCTTTCCATTTCACTCTCTTTCCATTTGCACTTATTTTTATTCTTTTCATTTTGAATTTCAATGGTAATTTGAGTTTATAATTAATATTTTTAATGTTTTAGGGGGCGCCGTTTGATCGTTCTAGGGGGCGTGGGGCAGCTCAACCACCCTCCCCCCACGCCCTTTACTAAATACGCCACTGGATAAAAGTAATCATTTTTAATGACAAATATATAAAAAAAAAAGTTAAGTATTTTTAAATTGCTCAAGCTTATTTTTGCATGAAGGCTCTAACAGGGTACGATTTATGCGTTATAAATATTTACACTCTGACTTTTGTTTATAAAGACTATAAAAAATTGAGGGACTTTGTTGGATTCATGAGGCTTATAGCATTATATACATTTAGTTCATAAAATGTTAATAAAGACATTCGTTCAAAAAAGGTTTTGAACGTTCATTTAAATTTTTATTTGTATTTTTTATTTTTTGTGGTTATTAAGGTTCTTTCAGAAGTCTATATGGTTTTAACACAGAGCACTGCAAAAAATCACTTTTCGTATAAATTAAAGAATGCTGCGTTTACGCATAAGCAAGTGTTAAATTTTTACAGAAATAAATCAAAAAGTAAAAAACATAGCGTAAAACACCTAATAACTCAAAATAAAACTAAGTTTGGTGTAAGTTCTATTCTAAGGTTTTTATTTAGTGTTTTATAATTACATTTCGTAATCCAAAATAATTAAGATAGCTTTTTATTATAGAAAAATTCTATTATTATAACCTCTCAGCTAGAACACTGTTATGAGGGAGCATTTTAAATTAAATATTTGCGTTTTTGTATAAAATTCGGATAATATTTTGCGAGACAATATTTTAAAAATGGTTATCTAATTTAAAAATAATATCTATTTTAAAAATAAAGTTAAATTTTAATAGCAGATATTTTATTTTGTTTTTCTTTATTTTGCCATGACTAAGAGCCAGTTTTTCTTTTCGTTTAGATTTTTTATATCAAATAATTGAGCCCTGAATTTGTTATACAATTTCGGAAACGCCGTAGTAAATGTTGCGTGAAAAGTCTTTGAACACTTCTTCAAAGCAAAAATCGGTCATGAAGGAACTTCCCAGTGGGCACGGAAGTAAAAAAAGACGTCTTTTAAACGTCTTATACACGTTTTAGACGTTTTCTGAACGTCTTTTGAACGTTTTGGACGTATTTTAAACGTTTAAAAGACGTCTTTTTTACTTCCGTGCCCACTGGGTTAGTTTAATAAAATTTTTCAGAATGCATTTGTGGATCGTTTAAAAAATATTTCTTTAATGCCATACACTTAATTCCAAAAAAATTGCAATTCGACCTGCTTTTTTGTATAGCAAGTCTTTGTTTGAAATATAGAAGTTCTAAGTTAGTTTTATAGGTACCCTATACTATACTATCTTACCCTATCCTATACTATTTTACCCTATACTATACTATCGTACCCTATACTATACTATCGTACCTTATACTATACTATCATACCCTATACTATACTATCTTACCCTATACTAGACTATCGTAGTTTAAATGAGCAGCTGTGTCGCAGTGGTAGCGCACTTGCCTCAGAAAAGTAAGATCCGTGGTTCAAACCCACCTCTGGGCAAGTTTTGCGACATCGGTTAGGAAGGTGGCGTGAGCTTCCTATTAAATGCTCTTCCGCGGTACTCTGTGATAAGACCGTGAGGACTTCTTGGGGCACCTAAAATCAACATAACAAAAAAAAAAAAAAAAAAAAAAAAAAAACTTTATAAAAAGCTATTGTAAGTTTGTTTGAGTAGCGGTTTTTTTAATGGTAGAATTAGACAATATTTCGTCTGACTTTATGCTCCCGTGAACTTTGGCTAGTCAGACGAGAAAACTTTGGTTAAATAATTATGCAGAAAAATAATTAATAAACATTTTTAATAACAGGGGTACTAAACTGCTTTTATAAAAAGTTAAATGAAAATGTTTGAATAAAAAGAAATTTAATTTATTTCTACTCTAAAACATCTTTTTATTTTAATTATAAGGCAACTGTAAAAACCTAATTTAAAACAACCCAGCAAACATGTCAGCGTTGAATCAACGTTGAAAACCGGTCGCAAAAGATGTTGCGGAAACGTTGACTAAGTAATCGATTTTGCAAAGATATGTCACGTTGTTAAAGAGACGTTGATTAAACGTTGTAGCATAACGTTGAAAAACGTTACTAAAAGACGTTACAAAAATGTCTCAACTAAACGTTGAAAAAGCGTTACTTAAAAAGCGTTGCATAGGCGCCGCAACTTAACGTTGAAAAAACGTTACTTGAAAAGCGTTACTTTAACGTTGTTAAAGCAGTCGATTTTGCAAGGATTTGTAACGTTGGTAGTAAAACGTCGATTCAACGTGACTCAAAGACGTCGAGCATAGGTTGAAACATAACGTTAAATCAACGCTCAAATGCGCTGGAGAAAATATCGCAAAATATTATTAAACGTGATTAAACCAGGTTATAATGTATTTTGAATTTGAAAATAAAACAAAATTGTATGTTGAACTCTGCACTTGCAATATTTCCAAAGTCGATTTTTAATACAAATAGTAATATACAATGAAAACCATAAAAAATATACAATTTATTTATATAAAATTTACAATTTATAGATAAAAATATAAACATCTTTTTTAAGATTTATGTGTGTTAGTGAATTTACAGGATTTACGTGTGTGAGTGAAATTTATGTGTGTGAGTGGATTTACAGGATATCGTATCGATAAGCCAGGATATCATTGAGATACAGAATCTAAATCAAAAAATAAAACTTGTATCATTATCAATCTGAAAGCAAATGTTTAAAAAATGTTATTGAATTAGTATGATTATTATTAAATTTAAAAAGTAAAAAAATATATATATATATATATATATATATATATTTATATATATAAATTATGTAATATATATATATATATATATATATATATATATATATATAATATATATATATATATATATATATATATATATATATATATATATATATATATATATATATATATATTGTGATAGTCTTAATAGCATAAATAAGTAATTGTTTTTAAAAAATAACACGACGTTTTTTATTCTTGAAATATTTTGTAGTAAACAACTGGGGTTGATATTTGACTGGGGTCGGAGCCGGGTTTGATAAAATATAGCCGGGGCCAGGGCTGGGTTTGAGACCAGGCTGCATAAACATTTATACATCCTAAAGTATATTTTTTAAATTTAAAATTCATGCTATATTTTGTATATATATGCATATATGAACATAATCATCATAACCATCATCATCATCATCATCATCATCATCATCATCATCATCATCATCATCATCATCATCATCATAATCATCATTATCATCAACAGCATAAAAGCGGAAAGCTTGACAATGATAATAAAAATTATGTTGATGTTGTTGATCGTCATCATGATAATCATCATCAGCACTATGTGCTGATGATGATTATCATGATGACGATCAACAACATCAACATTATTTATTGATGATTATCATGATGTATGCATATATATATACATATATATATGTTTATATATATATATATATATATATAT